CTCCCCCCCCCAACCCCCCCCCGCGCCACGAAATCTGCACTTCATCCCCGACACCCGCGCCTGCCACGAAATCAATACTTTAAGGTGAACTCCCCGGTGCAAAACTTTCTAACCAAGCAAATATGCCTCCTCTATCTATCTATCTATCTATCTTATCTTATCTTATCTGATCTCATCTAATCTAGTCTAGTCTAGTCTAATCTAATCTAATCTATCTATCTATCAATTTATCTTTCTATCTTTCGGCAGTTCAACATCCACAAAGTACTGCACCTGCCACGAAATCTGCACTTCAAGGTCCACAAAGTCTTGCGCCTGCCACGAAATCTGCACTCCAAGGCCCACAAAGTCCTGCACCTGCCACCAACTCTACACTTCCACACCCACAAAGTCCTGCATCTGCCACGAAATCTGCACTTCAAGGTCCACAAAGTCCTGCGCCTGCCACAAAATCTGCGCTCCACGGGCCACAAAGTACTACACCCGCCACGAAATCTGCACTTCAAGGCCCACAAAAAGTCCTGCGCCTGCCACAAACTCTGCACTCCAAGGCCCACAAAGTCCTGCACCTGCCACGAAATGTGCTGTGCAAGGTACACAAAGTACTGCACCTGCCACGAAACACGAAAAACAAAAAAAATCGAAAAAAAACGAAAAAACATAAATAACTTCGCAACCTTACATAATATGTTTTATGGTTTTTTGTTTTTAAGATCATTGAACGTGGCTTTCAGAACACGAAAGCGAGAAGTATGTTGTAAGAGACTGAAAGAGGATGCCATCATATTTCTTTATTGGTCTAAGTCCAGTGTGTTGTCTTCAAGCTTTACAATCTTTACATCAATATTTTTTTCATATTGTATCATTCCCAAGAGCTGGATGGGTTGACTCATCATGATTTAGCCAAGGTTCCAAAAGCCGACGATGATGCGGCGCATGGCATACCACAGCCGTGGTGCGACGCCATTGATGCTGGCGATTATTTGTCGCACGGACGAGTTGGTGAAAGCTACACATTTCGGGGGGTTGGATACTCTATGATGCTCTAGCAGGACCCCTTCCACAGGCTGTTTGGGGTTTCTAGATGTTTCGTTTCTCAGTCGCACCGAACTGGTCCCCCCGTTAGATCCAGGACCGTTGATCCTCAGCTGAACGTGTCATGAAAAGCGTGTGAGGTGGCAACTTCGAAGCTGCCGCCACTTTGCTAGCGGAACGTGCCAGGACAGTGAGTCTTTCACAAGGGGGACAGCAACTTATACGGAAAACAATGTTTTCTCTATTACCCCATCGACAAAAACAACCTGTATGCAGGCCAGATGAAATACCCCCCCTGTGTCGGGGTTTGTCAATCAATTGCATGATCCGCACTTCTTAGATGTAGCAGTGAAGTTCAATTTTTTTTTTTGACAACCACTTAGTAGCAGAATGTAACAGATATTTTTTCAGCAAGAGCGGTTCTTGCAATTGCTTCTTGTAACCTAAGCTTTGCACTCTGGTCTTCCCATGGCACAAGGCCATCTCATCTGAGCCGCTCCCTCGCACCGACCTCCTCGGCCGCCCGAACGGCCTGACCAGGACGGACTTGCGCAACTTCCGGGGTAAGACCGCCCTGGACCTGGCGCACGAACTCAGTGTACCAGATGCTCGGCGTGCCAGTGTACCACGTGACACGTTCACCCTGTGACACGTCGTCGGTCTCCCTTTCGCAACGTGGTCAAGCCAGGGCCCCCAGGGCCCACGAGGGGTGGTTAATGGACTGCAACGGGCTTATGATTAGACACCCGTTAGGGGGCCCTGGTAGTTATAGTATTATTATGTATTATATATTATAATTATACGTTTGATTTTTTTCCTGGTCCCTTCGCAAAGCAGCGGAACCGACGGAACGACGGATCTTTCTTACTTGTGTGGTCTAATGTTGGCCCGGTGTAGAGAACCCAGATTGTTTTGGCTTTTGTAGAGACGCTGATTCAAGCATCTTTGGTGAGACATGTGTTTGGTGATGTATTCTGCATTTAGGTCATGTTAGTGATGTGCGGCACGTGTTCAGCTCCGATGTCTATCCGGATGTTTGATGTCAATCGGTGAATATGTGATGTCGGTGTGAGGACTTGAACGTGAATCGGCGGGTTGACAACCAAAGCGCTGAACCGGAATGACCAGGAAGGATCAGGTCCCAGCGTTTTACACCTGGCGGTTCAGCTCTAAAGGTCATTGTACAACAATCCCTACGGATCCAAGTACCCTCTGAGAAGGTGTTTGGGGTGGGTTTGGAGGGTCCAAGTACCTTTTGAGGAGGTACTTGGATCCCTAGGGAATCATGGAAGTGAAAGACATGGGCTGGCCCTTGGAAAAGCTATTCTTCTCCAGATTTCCTTTTGGGAGGTCTCGTCCACCCTCATGTTTGTCGGAGGGAGCGTAGTTTGTCAACCAGGTCACTCACCAACTTTGATAGCCTCAGCAACCTCTACCTTTTACAAACGCACTAGATGGTGATACGGTATATATACTGTGCATAAAATTTGTGAGCACTACACTCCGCAGCACTTCGCACTTCGCTCCCACAACAAGTATACAGATTGTTCCAAAGCATCTACACTCCGCCACTCACATGGAAGTGGGTTTCACCACCTGTTTGTGTTTGGTATTCGGGTCATGCCATGGTCCTCCTTTCGGGCCATGCCATCCACGCGAGGCTGGCCCAATTTCTTCGAAACATGGGAGGTGCGAGGTCCCTCGTGTCAAAGCAAGGTTTTTGCCCTCCAGAACCCCAACGAGAACACATCCAAACGGGTTGGAACCCTTTTTTCGGTCCAGAGAAATGGAGGGAGACTGGGGGGGTTCATGGACTTGAATGTACCCAGAGCAGTACCCAGAACATCCATGAATTCCAAAGCGCTTGCAGACCAGAACTCTTGAACATCAGCAGTGAACATGGCCAAGATGGAATATCTAGTTGAAGTTCGTCCATCCAGCGAATGTCACACATGGGATGTATTTGATTTCGATCATATGCCTTGACCACCGGGGCTGCAGCATTCATGTGTTGTTAGACCCCTCCAGTGGAGCCAGACCATCGTTGACCATGTACCCGGTACCCCGTAATGACCCATCCATGTGAGCAACCCAGTCCTTCCCCCAGTCCCAAAAAGGGGTCCAATGTTTCCGATTCCAAACCTGGTCCAACACCAACCCATATGTTTGGTTGAATTCCATGTTCACCTGGTTGGTGTTGATGAACCTGGTTGGTTGTTGTCCCATCCGGAAGCCACATGGAATTCATCAACACCAACGACCCGTCGCTCTCATCCGAATTCTCACGACCGGGCCGTCTCCGTGGCCGTCTCCGTGGCCGCACGCGCACCGAGCCCACAAGCGGATGACCTCATGGAGCCCGAGGATTACCTCATGGATGCCTTGAACGGGGTCAGCTGCCGGAAGTGCTGGTCCATCGTTTCAGCCGCAAACTCCAAGAGCCTCAACCCTGTGATCCCCAGCGAAGGATCCATCGGTGCCGTGAGTCAGCGATCAAGTGTAAACGTCGCGGGGTGATCGGGTTTTTCCAATGGTCCAAGAAACGGAGATGTTAGGTGATGTGTAGGTTTTTTATTGGGTTGAGCCCCAGGGACCTGGGCTGCGGAGGGTGCTAAATCGAAGTTCAATATGATCAGTTGATATCAGATGTGTGTTTCTCTTGTTTTCTGGAAGGATTTGTGTTTTTAGTTTTAGATCAGTGCCATACTGTATGTGCCATTCGGGTGATTCTTGATCAAGGGTCAAAGGATTGTTCATTGTCAGGCTCAGTGTAGGGCGAGATGATGTTTGACAGGGCTGTAGGGCGGGGAAGAGCGGGAAGGGCGGAGGAAGGATCCTGATTTTCTGGCGATGCGGCGATGTGTTTAATTACCATTCAGTCGATAGAATATTGTGGACTCTATTAACTCTATCAACCAGTCACAGTGGATTGGTTGTACCGTACAACCCCTGCTGTTGCCCATGCACCATCGTTTCTTAGCTAGTGTGGCTGATGATTTTGGATCCAAAAGCTGCTGCTGTGAAGTACCACAACTCCCTTTTGGGATCTTTGAAAGACAACTGACATGCACGCTTCTTAGCAACACCATGTGTCCGTGTCAAGGGAACTGTGAGTGCAATTATCAAAGAAATCCTCGCAAACTCCCCGCACCATTATAGTAGAGGATGTAGTTCAGCCGGTGGACTGAAAACACATGAAACCACTTCACTTGAAACAGATTTTCCCTAGCCTTCAAAGACGAAAAGAAAATCCGTAAAACCATGGCTGCTTGATCATACTTGTATCTTATTATGATGGTTCTTTCCCCGGCATTTTCTTCGGACACCCCACAAACCCACCAGCCGTTAATCGCTCGATGTGCTCGCTCACAGGTGCTCGCTCGATGAAGTCCTGGCACTTCTGAGCGTTTTGTACCGGTCGCTTTTGGGTAGTGAGGAGTCGATTTGTTTTTAAAGAGTTTTGAAGATTTTGCGTCTTGGTTGACGCGAAAGCCGTGGAGTTTTGCGGTGAAAATCATGTTTTTTTACCCAAGATGAGCTAGGGAAGTCAGGCTTGGGCAAGAAGATCTTGCAAAGCAGACTCGCTTGGAGTCTTCATGGTCCTTGATGATTCCAGGATCGAAGAGATGAAGGGGCTGGGTGGCCCTTATGGGAAGCCTTTCGGAGCTCCTTTTTTTTCGGAGTCTCCGACGAAGAGTCTAAGGGTCTTTGCTTGGAAACTGAACCATTGACTGCTATACGGTTTTGGGTCATTGACAGATATAATGAAATATATGATGTCATTCAAAAGGCTCATTTGAACTCCCTTGGTGTGCGTGGCCCAGATGTGTGGCCCCAGATGCGTGGCCCTACACCTTTTTGTGCTTCTTGACACAACAACTTGGTGTAACGACTAACGACCGCGTGGTGAGGTGCTTGGTGAGGTAAGCCGCCCAGAATTCCAAACATCATCAGGTGAAGAGGGCTGCTGCCTGTTTGACCTGGTTGTGTGTGCATAGGCATAGATGTTAGGATAATATTCTCTGGAGCTCTCGCCCACTCAAGGATTACGTCGAGTCACAGTCGCAAGAGACTCAAATCTCGAGGGCCGAAGCACCTCATTCCGGTCACATTTTTGAAGTGCCGGCAGTCTCATGTGAAACAGGGATGGCGGCTGGTCTGGCTTGCAGCATTGGTTGCAACAAGGCAGTTGATTCGAGTGCGATCGAGTGCATCTTTTCAAAAGTAAGTACCAAAGGTTCCCAAAGAACAGTATAGTATAGTCAGTTGATCTTCATTTGTACCATGCAGTTGTGGCGATATTTGTTCAGAGGCGTTCACAGGTGATCGTTCAAAGACACCAGTTTTGTCACTGACTCATCTCGAAGTTCTACCGGGCCCCCAGTCTATGTTGACTTCAGGCGATACACCAGGAGATTCTGTGAATTATTAATATTCCCAATCAGTTCCTCCTTTACTGTGATTCCTCAATCTACACCACTCGAATTTGGTCAGATGTCGCGCTTGCTGCGTCCACGCCTGTGCGGTCACGACCGCCCCCATGGGCGCCGCGAACAGTGTTTCGGCGAGTGCCGCGGGGAAAGGGCCCCAGCGAGCCGCTCCGTGACGAGTTGGAATGGCCTGAGATCGGAGGGTTTGCTTGCTGCATGTCACCGAATTCATACCAGGAAAGTCCAATGGGTGTCCTGTTTGGAGGTCCAGGAACGAACTGGTAGAATGTTGATGACTTAAACACCTGACCCCACGAAAGGTCCAGCATCTCGAGATGGAGGTTTCTGATGGTTTCTGTATTCAACAGTCAACCTTCTCGGGAAAACCGCCACGTGAGCGATTTTTAAAGGTATGCCCAAGAGGGAGAGACCCGTATCCACCCGCTTTCTTTGTCCTGCAAGAGATGGACACAAGTTGTGTAGTTACAAACCTTAGACATTCCCAGGAAAAGTTGATGACGTTTAACCTTTTTGGGGGGCCTCGGTGTCCTTTTCAAGCAAGAACAGGTGGGGAAAGTTGGGTGAACTTCTTTTCGGAAACGGCTTGGGAGTCCGTTGGGATATGTTGAGATGTTCTCTTTGCACCTGTTTTGGGGGAGCTGAAGAGTTGTGCAGAGCATCGACCTCGACCTTTGCACCAGGTGTTGTGGTCCTGCGCCATAGATCATGGCTGCCACGGGTCCCTTCAAAAGCAGGAAGCCAGGCTCTATGTCCCAGGTCAATGTGTCCTCATGACTTCGGGCTGGTGAAGTGCTTCAGGGGATCCTCTCGGGGATCCTCTCGGGGATCCTCTCGGTACTCCACAAGGGTCTCGTGGTTTCTCCGAGGGTCTCGACCCCCATGATCCCACGGTCTCGTTGTCCGACTGGAAGAGATGCCCAACTGAGGGTTCCCCCATGGCCCAACTCTAGTGATCCAGTCGAAGATGGGTGTGTAATGATGTGTATACCCTAGGGATCCAAGTACCTCCTCAAAAGGTGATTGGAGACACTGTTATATGTAGGTTTGGAGGGTCCAAGTACCTTGTGAGAAGGTGATACAGTACCCTAGGGATCCAAGTACCTCCTCAAAAGGTACGACTGGACCCTCCTGGCACCCACCCCAGTCCCACCTTCTCAGAGGGTACTTGGATCCCTAGGGGTAGTATATTAAACTCAGCAGACCTCCCAGTTCGACCTGGAAGGTTTGGACAATATACCAGTTTCCTGTAGCCAGGGGTGATCGGAGGGGTTCTCCCTAGCCAAAACCAATTCTGGAAACCTCAAATCTAGCGATGGGTTCGACCCCAGACCCCTCCAACGTATCCAACAGAGGTTGAAGGACCCTATAGACTATCCCATAGGTTCCTACATGGTCACTTAATTGGATCCTCCTTCAGCCTGGAGGGTTCATGGCCCAGCCTGGGCGCCTCACCCTGCCAGTGAAAGACCTGCTCAACTCCAAGTCTGACAGGTCTCAACACTTCCGCAATGACACAGCGAATCGCTCCGAGAAGTTGGGCCGGTGCCGCTTTCAAACGCTGGGGTGGTGGCTTGACAAGAGATGTTCTTTTCTTTAAACGTCAACGTGCAACCTTGGGATGTGTCAATCTAAAAGAAAGGACTCACATACTCATCCCACTGACTCATGTCATTTACAAGGTGAGTTGAATTGAAACCACCAAGCCAGCGTAGGCTGTTTGAAGACTGGTTTCTTCGCTGGGCCCGCGCTCGGATTCTGTGGAATTGGCAGCGCGGAGGAGGAACACGAGCAGAGCCAGAAACCAGTGGAAGGGATACGATATGGTGTGATTCGTTTTTTGTTTCTTTACGTCATTCACGCAGTGTATTTCCAGACAGAGCTAGAAACTTTTTCCATCCTGTCCTGTAGCCCTAGAGCCTTGAAGAAGGATCAAGAAGAAAGGGCCTTGTGAGCGTTTGGCCCTTGAGAACTTGGAAGGAGAGATCAACTGACATTGCAAGGTGGGCATCAAATATCGTGGTACTTTGAGAAGGGGAAATCGAGGTAGCGGTAGCATGATCTCTTTCTGCATGAGCATCATGACCACCATGACCTTTGTTTTTGATAGGGGGGTCTCATTTGCAAACCATTGTGGGCCCTTCTTGGCACAAAGCTCGCAAGTTCTCCTTGACTTCGCGCATGTCCATCCTGTTTCGCGGCTCGCTCACTTGAAAAGTGCTGGCCGGGACCGCAGAAACCTGTTGCGAATCCATTCGCCGGTGACAGGTCCAGCGAACCTTGCCATACTCGATCCAAAAAAATCAAGGGTGACTGGGGTGACCTGCTTTGCTGCTGGATACCAATCCTGACCTGCTGTCCAGAGGGTTTGGTGCATTCTAGAAGATCGGGTTTGCTCATGAACAGTCCCGTTACAGTCTCGTCAGGCCGGGATTGGCACCATGCACAACACCTGGACTTGCACTTGCCATCCTGATCTTACAGAAAACTCTTCATCCGAATCGTATCACTCTGCCTGATCGTACATCATATAAGATCACAAAGCTAGCATATCGAAAGCCTTGGGTGGGCCGAATTGCTTTCATGTTTCCACTAACTAGTCACCCGTTGGGGAACCCCCCGTCGAAACAGGTGAGCAGTGGAAGAGTTTTGCTTAATTTTACTGGAGTTGGTCAAGGTAAAGACCAGGCTTTGACGAGGTTTTGGAACTTGTACCAGGTATTACATACCCCGGAGGCCCGGGGACCTCTGGAGGCTCTTTTCACACCCCAGAGACCTGCGGCCCCCCTGGGGGAGTCGACTCGGATCGGGTCGGGAGACGCGCGCGCGGAAGGCACCGGGTCCAGGGGGCGCCCCGTCACGACGCAGGACCTCAAGGGGTCGATTCGCGTCTTCTGCCGTGTACGACCCCTGAGCAAGAAGGAGCAGCTGGGGGCGGGGGCAGATGAAGGGGGGGCGGAGGTGGTAGACTAGCAGCTGCAGGGGGTGGAGTTGTGAAGCAAAAACAGGCTGATTGCTGATGGTAGCATGGATGTGCCAAGTGCTTTAGTTTTATAAGTTACTGTCCAGCACGTTCTAAGGTCGATGAAATAGTAATTGTTCTTATGTTGTTGTTGCTTTTATGTCATTTCATTGTCATTTTTTGGTCATTTGTGTGGGTCACTTTGTTGTCATTTTTTCGGCGTATTTTTTTTTGTCATGCTTGTTGGTGTTCTTGTTGTTTGAAGAACAATTGAAAAAAAAGAAAAATAAAGGATACATGATAGGATCAGTAAAGGATTTTCAAAGGAACGATAGCAACAGCAAATATATATAAATATAAATAGACAATTATATGAAAAATAATGATATCAGGACACATGATAGGACAAGTAAAGAAGTTTTAGAGGACACATGAAACAAATGATAAACACAATGACAAAATAATGACATACCTAAATGACAAAACAACCAAAAGGACAAAATAAATAATTGATGTCCAGAGTCTACTGGATAAAGAATTTCATAAACTTAGTTTAAGCTCTCTAATGATTAGGAATGGATCTCCACCGTTGTGTAGTAATCAGGATACCGTTTGGTCATCCTTGGGACGACTGACTGCCGTCCTTATCCATGTTTTTCAGTTGCAGTTGACTGACGGCACTCCTCAGACGGGCCCGACCGGACCTACTCCGCCAGGAGACAGGGCAAGGTGACAGCTCCATTTGTGAGGCTCGAGCAGAAACCTGGAGAAGAATTCTGACCATACCCAGACACTCCATGGGACTATGCTCAAAAACCTAGACCCCTGAAACCAACCCAATGTATGCATAATATGGAGTGTTACCGTTTGCTTTTCTTGCAGATCGATATAGATGTAAATCCCGAGACCCTGAGACTGCTTTGACTGCTTCAGGGACAAAACAAACACAGTAGAAGGGATTGTTAACCGCGCCGAGATTGCATAGAGGATCGGAGCGCCAAATCTACTCACTTCGGAACTCAAACATTTGGCACTTCGGGCTCTACATTTGGACACTGCGATCACTTGCAGGGCAGGTCCTAACCGCCGACGTCGAGCGCACATGTTCTTCGCCTCCGGATCCGTCGGTGACATGCCCGCCGGCATGGCAAGGCCGTGGATCAGATGACCGTCAAGGCGAGTGGTCTTCGGGGGAGAGCGGGAGAGCGGTCACTGGAGAGAAGGCTGGAGGGTGACTACACCAATGAACACCAGCTACACAGAGAAGGCCCATAGATGCCGATCTTCGATTGCCCCCACATGGGCCCAGAAGATCATCCACCGTTTGGACTCTGGACCATTTTTCGAAGATGAACCCAGTGGTTTTAGGGATCCATGTGGTCCTTTCCAGGCTGGTAGCATCAGCTACCACTACCGCCCGATGATTGGATAGTGATTGGATGGAACACACAAGGGATTCGGGGTATTTGTGGTGCTCGTATTTGCTTGAACCATGTTGAATCTTCTTGATGCACATGCATGGGTGTGTTAGTACATGTTAGCGTGGGTGCTTTGGGCTCCCACAGCCCAAACCTGGCCTCCGGGCTATAGAGTTGAGAACTTTGGATGCACCTTGTGACTAGTTCATGCTATACACCACCTTCTTCTTGTTCTGGTTCTGCATCGAAAATAGACCACTTCAACCACTTCCTATATAGGATCCACAAACCTTCTCAGAAGATACGACAGGACACTCCAAACCCACAGAGAAATGTCTCCAAGCACCTCTCTCAGGGTATGTGTGTCCATCAGGCAGGGTTTGGATTTGGAGAGGTCACCTCCTCACCAGCAGATCACCCAAGAGTTCGCCCCGCGTCACAAAGGCATCAATGTTCGCACCGTGTTTTTGTGTGATTTTTTTTCAGGGTCTCCCTTTCGTGGTGAGGAGGGCACCACTGGTTCCACATAAGAGTCCAAACCCTCTCGATCTGCTTTCGATGCTTGACGAAATGTTGCTTTGTTGCTCGAGAGAGGCAGTCGGACTGAGGGGTTTCCACGAATGGTTCGGTGGTCCACGAGATGTTGGTTGGAGGCTCCTAGTTAGGTTCTCACCAATACTCCCTAGGGCTCCTGTCCCATCCTCAGGTTCGGACCCCAAGCACCTTCTGAGGATGTGGGACTACCGTTCACCGTTGGTCACAGGTCAAGGAGGAGCAGTTCCTCTTCGATGCCGTCTTTACTCCTGGAACCCAGGCGGTGTTTGGGGGTTTGGTGACCGGGTTTTGGCATTGGGATGATGGGTGAATCTAGAGATCCTTATATGTTTGTTGTAGATACAGTTAGATGAACAAATCCATCACCAGAAGATAGCAACACGGGAGATGTTTTTGATATCGATCTCATTGATCTCATCATTCATGATAATTAACCTGCTTCCAAAGAAGATCTCATTAGTTCAGCAAACACACACACACACACACATGTAGCACCATGTGACTGACCATGCGTGTTTTGCGCTTCTCAAGCACCACGTTGACTGTTCTATAGGCTCCTTGAAAAGGGGTGGTGGCCGGAGGTGGCCACTGTGAATTGACACGGTATGCCAGACGTCCTGGCCTGACAGGACCACAAGCACATGTCCAACAAATGGTATGACCCCAGAACCTCTAGAGCCCCCTGCGATGGCTCTTTTTTCCTTGCCAATCTCGCGTTCAGGGAATGTCAGAGTGAAAAAGCGGGGAGATGTGAAAGATGAACTGAAAAGCGGGGAGATGTGGAAGATTGGCCGCACACATCACAGGATGAAGTCTTTGAAGATTGTCGCGATTTAGTCCAAAGTGCCGCGGACGGTGCGGAGCCTCGCCCAGCGATCGCCCAGCCTTCGCGGGTCGGCTCGGTCGGTTTCCGGGTGGTTTCAAAGACGCCAGGGCCCCTCGGTTTATGGCGGTGTTAGTCATATAATGGTGGACATATCCTCTATAAAATCACAGGGGTCATGGTGTATGTCCACAGATATTATAATCATATAGCCCCTAACTAGCCCCGAGGTGAGTTCCGAAAAACACCCATCCACCGCCCAAGGACCCGAGGGTCGCTGCAAACGTTTGAACCGGTGATATGATTGATATGTACGTTACTGACTTCACTGACTTCATTGGTGGACCACCCTGCATAATCGAGGTGCCATACGTATCCAATCTTCAAACACTCAGTAGCTCCCAAGTAACTCCCACAACTAGCAAAGCCCAACCAAGCGCGTCCAAGCGCCATCTACAGAGTGGAGAAAGTATGCAGTTGGGCATCAATCTTGTGGAGCTGTATGGTTGGAGAGTTTGCATGCAGGAAGCACCTTCAAATCCCAAACAAGACCTGGTTTCTTCTCGCTCGAAACGAATTCTGAGGTTACAACGTGACGATGTTTGCGTGCCCGCGGGCGTCGTCGTATTCTGTGTGCAGTGGAGGGCGTGGATCCCGGCGTCTTCAAACACCCCGGAAACACCTCTTGGGAAGCCCTGCGCGCCCTGAGGGCTTTGAACACGCGCAGGAGGCGGAGGGCGAAACGTCCGTGGGCAAAGAAGATGTGTCACGTTGCGTCGACTGGAGGGTTTCAGATGTTCCAGCATGCAGGCGCGTCTGGGAGAGAGACGAGTGACGAGGCTCTTTTGTAGGGTACGCAAGGTACGGAGGGAGAACAGGCTTCAGGGGAGCCATGAACTTGCCATATGAAGACCTACCTGTTTCAACCCACTTGATTCAGCTGCCATGTATCTCTATTACCAGCTGAATGACCCGAAAAGTGCCGTGCAATGTAAAGGGATAAAATGGAAACGAGGCAGTTACATGGAGTTGGGTGGTTTTTAGTCCCATCTAGTGAGTAGATCACGGGGACCCCTATCGTCCAATAGGCACCCCTCTCTGACTTCTGGAAATCAAAAGTTACTGTAATAGCACGTGCAGCCCCATCCTGCATCCTGCATCCACCAGGTACGGACAGACAGGAGCCGGCAAGACCTTCACCATGTATGGCACCAAGGGCCGGATCCTGAGCCCTGCCGTTCTCAGACCGCCGACAGGTCTGCTCGGTCTGCTCTTGGTTTTGGTGCCACCGGTCCTTCATTGCTCAGGGTAAGAGGGTTGGGGTCAACAAGGATTCGGAATACAAGCTTGCGAGGAGAAGAGACCTCACTTGCCCAAGCTTCCAGAGACATTCGACATGTGTTACACGCTGCAGGCCTTGTTTTGGCTCTTAGCCACCCTATCTTTAGCCAGTCGCTGTCGCCGATGAAGTTGGGGCGTCTGGCCGTCGCTTCCTGGGTGCCCTTGGCTTTGGGCTGGCTACACGACGAGGACGGGCAAATCCGGTGCTCGGGCGCTTTCCTGCTCGCACGCGAATCCATGCTCGCGCAAAAAAACCGTCCGAGCCCACATCGCTGGGATCAACGATGTGGGTGTCAAAGATCATGTAATATATGTTGGGTCTGTCCTATTACCTGTAACAGTCAGTAAACAATTCTCTCTATGTTTGAACAAGCCTTTACTAACCATCATCATCCACTGGGCCCTGGTAATAGGATAGATAGACCCTGGAGGGTAGGCGTGTCCCTGAAGCAATCCACTATCCACTCACTGGATGGGACTACAAACCAATTCGACATGGAACTCCTGGTGCATATTTAATATGCTTTCATGATATTATGTATACTTGTAGTGTGTGTGGAATCAAAGTGTTTGTCATGTATATGATGTCCGATGAACACATGTGTAGTACCCAAACAAAGAGATGCACGGTCACTATAATTTGTACAGACAAGATATATTAACACACAATAGACACGTTTGAAATAGACACGTTTGAAATCGCACATGGACGAGATTTGACAATTCTTATTAATGACACCAACACATTTGGATGGGCTGGCAATGGTTCACTGCATACCTATTGGACATATTGGTGAGGGAGGAAGACATCCCAGGTTCTTTTTTTTGGGTGGAACCGTTTGTCTCCACATGTGTTCAACCATCCTCGCGACATGGATGCATCTCAAAGATGTATGAAATAGTGAACCCAAGTGAGTGACCACCAGCGACAGTGGGAAGTGGATGAAACTTGGTAGGAGTTCCCAAGTTTTGGACCACGTTCTTTCACAGTTTCGCTTCCCCCCCGATTCTTTTTTGCTGCTTGACCATCGCCTGAATGTGGGTGACGCTGGCCACCGGTGGGAGCGTGTTTGTTCTCCCGGGATCGGATCATTGACCGGGAAAAGATACAAAGTCCCATCACCTGATCCACAATACCATGACCAGACCTGCCTTCATTGATATCGAAGCTTTCGCCCCACCGTGGTGTGCCCCACAGCAGCAGGCCTTGCGCCAGGCCACTGAGCGCTCACGCTCCGTCGGTCATGCGCCACGGCGCTTGACGGTGAATCTGGACCTCGCGCCGCAGGAGAGGCGCGGCGAGCTTGGGACCTACAGCGATCGCTTCGAGAGTCCGCGGGACGTTTGGGGCTTCGGGGAAGCCTCATGGATTCTGTGGGCAGAAGAGAAAGAAGTTCATAATTGTTTTAACATGGTTTAACAATGTTTAACATATGGATCAGAAATCATACTAAGAGGCCAAGTCATCAGAAGTTCAAGGTTCCAGGAAAATCATAGCCAGTTGATCAAACCTTGTCATACCTCCAACTTCTTTCCTGCATGTAGGAAACACAGCAGCAATGGCTCAACGCAGACAGACCCTCCTGATGTCAAAAGATCCAACATTGAGCTGATCTGAACTTGCTATCTAGTTCCCTTTTGGTTGAGGTCAAACCTAGAGGCCTAATGTCGCCCATCCCTTGCATTTCTCCCAACTTCAGAACATTGGAGTCAGTGCTGAATGCTGTATATAATAGTGCTTAGTGTTACAACATCTTTGCACGGCTTCCCAACCTTTGGTTCCCTAGATGTTAGAACTTAATGCCTCAGTCTGTTTCTAAAGGGCTTTGATCACAAGGCTGCACGGTGGAACCCGAGGGAAGTGGATTTGCCACAAAATGCAAGACACTTTAGACTTTGGTTTTGGTCTTTGCCAGTGGATCCACACAATTTGTCCAACTTCATGGAAGAACCTGTGATTCTGAAGTAGTTCGTGGGGTGTTTTTCTTTGTCGCTCCAAAGGAACGCAGACCCTGTGAGATCCTTCAAGAAATCGAGAACACAGCAACCGCTCCTCATCAGAGACACTTCAATTGACCTAAACGTGACAGACGACGATCGGCTCTCGACAGACGACGACGAAAAAGGAACACGTCATTCAAAGCACATTCCACGGACGAGAACGACGCTTGCAGGTGGTCCTTTTTGGCGAAGGAAAAGGGCTTTGAGTCCTACCATACCTTGGCGACTGGATATTTAGAGCTTCTCGGATTGCTTGCAATCGAGGGTTTTCTTCTCGATGGCCCTTCCAGGGAGCAGTCCAGAAGGTTTCATTGGTGTGAAGAAGAGTTTTCTCAGGAAGCCCATTAGCAGTTCGGGAGCAACAGCACCACAAAGATAAATCAAAGTGAATACGGTGTCAGATTGTTCCAAAGGGGTGGGTTTAGACCAACAAGTGAGTGGATAATGAGCACCCCAGTGAGCACCCCTTATCCTCCCACCAGCCCCTTTGGAAGGTCCTATATAGATGTCATTTTGCTTGGACACCTTGATTTTCCCTGAAAGAAGTGAATGTTGGCTACAGCGCAGGACGTGGCGGATCGTGCGTAGGGACTCCCAAAGGATCAAAGGTCCTATCCATCGTACGTAGAGGAAGAGGAAAAAGCCCTTCATCCTTGACAGTCACAAGTTAGAGGTTGTATTGGGAAGCTACTGCCACACTTTGGACAGTATGAAGGAGAGAGAAGCACCTTGATGGCTATGGCTATCACACTCTTTGCCATCATTGTCCCCGCTAAAGCCTTTGGCAAGTTTTTCAGGAAGGGGTCCTGTTTGGAGCATAGCGCGTGGATGCGCAGACACGGCTGGAACTGCTCCAATGTGATACATGTCAATGTGAGGAATGGTCAACAGTAAGTAGGCATTCTTTCAATGCCCAGCCTACGGGTACATATGATATTGCTATATATAAATAGATATAGACTAGATAATGCTAGATATGTTGAAAGGACTTCAGGAAGGAAGGCCTTTAGGAGACCTAGGTATAAACTATAAATATATAATTATAGAGATTGATCATTTTCATCCTCTAGAAACGGTCTTATTTCCGGTTCCTGTGATCATCCGTAGCCACCTGTTGCACATGATCCGATCCTGTGAATCCGAACGAAAGGAACCGCAACTCAATTGGCGAACCGGTATGTTCAGACTTGGTGACGTTTCTGGACCCTTTTTCAGACTTGGTGACTTCAGCACCACGTGTGGTACCGAATGGCTTTGCTGGCTTTGCTGCTTGCTCCTGTTCTTGGTGCACTGTGTCAGGAAATACATCCCCGGCAAGATCCTTCCGTTGGTGGATCACATCACCAAACACATGGATGCTTGGAATTCGTTGACGCAAGCTGGTCGGTTCGCCGGGGTCCGTGGTGTGACATGAGGCCGGCATGAAGCAAAGTAGATGGTCAAGGGATGTGGGTCCACTCATTCAATGATGTTTGGTGACCAGTGAGATTCAAAATTCAATATATGGGAATTGATCGAAAACCCCGTGTAAGGAGTTTTATATATAACAGCCTTTCAGATGTTGTTAGAACCATCCGCGAAAGATTCGCGATGAGGTTCGCGAAAGTATCTATTTGTTCCGCGAAAGATTTATCGAAGGTCATCGCTTTCATTTTTTTCCTTTCTACCGGACTGACAAAGAATGGAAACGCAAGGCAATCCTCCGGCAGAGCCAGTGGGCGGAAGTGTCCCCATATATGTCACAGACTAACGAACTGAAGCCTCAACATTTCCGTGCCCAGCCCTGGCAGTGCGTAAAGGATTCTCCGATTCCTGTCCCCACTGTCACAGACTAGCAATCTGGGTAGGCACAGCCCTGACAGTGAGGCAACGACCTGCAGCTGCTCTGACGGGCTGTGCAGATGTTTGCAAATGTTACGGCTTCCCGGGGAAAGCGCCAGTGAAGTTTCGCGAAAGTTTCGCGAATGTGCCGCAAAAGTCTAGGTTCCCAGCTTGAGGCGCCCCAACATTCCCCAAGCTGCATCACCCTGTGTTGGTAGCTGACACGAGGATTGGGTTGAGTGGTGCCTGACTCTATTTGGCACAATTGCCGCACAGATGCTGCAAGCGACCCTGAGTAGCTGTGGAAACGTTCAACCATCTACTGGGGTCATGCTGCAAGATGTCTCTCCCTATTTTGTGATACTATGACATGTTCCGGCTCATGTTAGCTAGACATGGTTGTAGGACCATGCTTCGCGAAGAGGCCGCGAAAGATCCGCGAAAGATTTTTTCCGCGATGAACGACCATTCCAGGATGAAAGAATATTGATCAACCACCATATATATATATATGCGATATATGTGCTTGGTTTGACCAAAATCCGCAATATGCTTTTGCTTGGCACCTGAGGATAATATTTTCTTGGGGGGAATTCCCTTAGGAGAGTGCTTACTACCACGACTATGCCGAAGAGATGCAGAGCTTGGCGTCCGCCTTGAACCTCTCCCTGGGCGAAGTTGTGGCTGGGCGAGAAGCGGAGATGAGGCAGTGAAAGGCGTTGAGGCATCATTGTTTTTTGCAATATATAGCCGTTTTGTAACTCTATACATATCACTAACTACTGTCTAACTATATATAATACAATATGTATATATGCATATGTGTTTCCAAACATTTTCTGGGTATATGTGTCTTGCAATATGTGTGTGTATCCCAGACACTCCATGTCTGTCACATACATGGAGTGCTTGGGTACTGTATATAGATATATCATTCCCTTTGGTCATGGCCCCATCTTCGACGTTCTGTTTGACGTCGTTTGTTTCGTCCTCAAACCGTTACATTTCAGTAAAACATTGAAGATTTAAATCAGTTGAGTTGGTCGATCCAGATCCAGCACATTTTCGTGAATATCAAAAGAATCCACAGTTGAGGAGTCCTTTTCTGGCGGTATCCAGTCGGGGCTGGATTGGTGTTTTGGGAGCTGATCCTGAAACCGTGATCTCCAAAGGCCCAGTGCCAGTGGCCACTGTCAAGGCCCTTGTCACGAAGACTTGAAACCGTAGTGACGGCTGGCCAATCTCGCTTACCAATCTGGGATCAAAACCATGGCCAATTGCAGCTGAATGACCCTTTGAAAGATTAGGAGGACCGCCCAAAACTGAACGTGACTCTTCCTTTAGCGTCGCTCATGGATCAGGTGCTTTTGAATCTGGTTTATCAAGTGGAGCAGATTGGCACTGCTTGCTACAAAGTGTGTCTTGGCCAGCACTTTCAGGTTGCTTAAAGTGCCATTGGGTGCCGACAAGAGTGATGACAAGAGTGAGGATAGGGTATACACGTTAAGACTTCTTGTATCTTCTTGTTGCCTCCTTGGTAGGGACAGAATGCATCCCGGGTTCAACGCACCCAGGGTTTGAACACCTTCTACAACCAATGCTGTTCTTGGAGTGATCTTTCACGATCTGTTCCCATCCCTAGCCTTGGATTTCCCTCATCCTCTACATCTCTCCTTTTCCTCACCCCGATCTCCCATCCAGCCGCGTCGCCAGGAACACCACCGGGCCCTGTCCGAGTGGCCCCGGCCTTTGCTCAGCCCTCGTGGCCGAGTCAGCGGACGCAGTTTGGCAAGGCGGGAGCAGTTTGGGTGGTTGAGGGACCTCCCATGGGACTCCGTGGCGGATCAGGTGATTTGTTGGTCTCGCTGTCGGGTGAATCCCCCGACAGCATGGGGAATGGTTTCCTTTTACATATACTTTGCTTCTTTTTTGTAATGTAGTCTTAGTTGTTTTTAAAAGTAAATTCAAGTAATACTCAAGAATGACCAGAATTCAGGAGTCACATGTTGGATGGCTTTGTTCGTCCCATCCATGCAGTGAGTGCATGTGACAGGCAGGGCACCCCGACTTCCTCAAAGTTCGCCACCCCTTTGTGACTCCTGGATGGTCTTTGTTTTGATCACCCTTGGATATCCTTTGCTTTGCGGCTTTGCTTTTGATGTGGGGTGCATCAAACATCATCAAACCCGGTTTTTGAAAAAAACAACCCCCCTGATATGCCCTGGGGTTGTGAGTGGTTCTTCTATTTTTTATGTTTGGTTGTATGTTGGCTAATAGAGTCGTGTGGAGCTTCTCTGGTGCTTGGATTGGAAGCCGGTCGCCAGTCCTTCGGTCGCCAGAGAGCGACCCGCCAGTCTTCCCGAAGGAAGATCGACCGCCTTGAACCCATTTACCACCAACAAAAAGACCACCCAAAGAGGACCTGTGTTGAATCCAAAAAGCCGCAAATGGTGAAGATCCGGAGAGAAGATCCTTGAACTATATGGGCTGATGGCAGCAAATCATCGTCTCTGTGCAGTCCTTTGTCTCTGTGGCATCTGGACACCAGTTTGGGGTGGACACCTTCCCGCCGGAAGCGGAACGCGCGGTGGAAGTGGATACTCCCGATAATGCTTCTTATATCTCTCATGAGCAATGTTGCACTATTCTCGAACCTGCCATTTTGAATCCATCCTCTTAAACACTTGAAAGATCTTGAAAGTGTTTGATCCAAAGATGGTCTTTGATCGCCAAGTGACTGGATTCCACATGGGTCCCGTGCTTCGGAGCTCGATTCTCAAGCTCGGCAGGTCGGAACCTGGACTGGGACTTGGACAAGAGCTTGTCCCTGGGACTTGGAATGAGGGGAAGCGACCCGTCCGCTCCGAATGCCCAAGATGTGGGGGCTTTGGAGGGGTTTTGGACTCCACCGCCATGTTTGTTGGCGGGAGGGTGCAATTGGTCTTTTTAATTGGTGGAACACGTTTTTGGGAGATTGTGACGTGTGAAAGGAGTGAAAGGATCCACTTGGAAAGCTCGTCCAAACAGTGATGGTTATTGTCAAACATGTAATACAGTGGTTTCAGTCAGAGGTTCGATGGCACAAACCCCTTCAGATGTCCTGAACAGCATGGGGGTCCAGAATTACAAGCCTCGGAACTTGGATCGAATCTACTCTGAAACCACTGTATAAGCAATAGAAATCCTCTACATACGATGTGGTTGTTTGTGGAACATCCACCAAAAGCTATTCGTTCGGGAACACCGTATTACACTGCACTCGTTTGTTTCTGGTGGCTGTGGAAGCATTAGGAGGGCCTTGAGGAGTTACCTGGGATGTAGACATCAACGAAATCTCTCAAGTGGAGAAGGTCCCGTAGTTCACACCAGCAGTTGGTTGTCATGCTGGTCCCCCAATGTGGCACGCCGTCGCTCTAAGTTCAATACATATCTGACCATCCCCTGCCATGCTTTGCGCTCAAAGCTGGCAGAAGAGCCCACAAGAGTAGACTCCAAAGAGGTGATTCTGTTGGCGCAACGTCGCAAAGCTCATGCAATGCCCTCAACGCTGTGTACTCCGACTCCGCGAGCACATATGACGCGTGTTGGTGACCCCTTTACAGATGGCTCCTAATGAGTCCGGAATCCGTCGGATTCGAAGACCGAATCGCGTGATTCAGGTTGCCCTTTGTGGTGGAGGTCGATTACATCTCCCAGAATCAGACCCGCTTCCGTGGGGTTCAGGCGCGAAGGAAAGAGAGAGTCCTGGAATGCGGAATGCGGTGGGGTCGAGGTGGGGGCAATGGTTGGGAGGTTTTTGTCATGTGACGTTTTGATACGTTTTGTATTCCCATACGTACTGAATTCATTCAATCATGAATGCTGAGGGTCGTATCGCTGATGGCTTACAATTTTGCTTGATGTTTGCTCTTCGCCTTCCTCACTCTCCACACCACCTCGCCGCTCCCCAGTTTTGACCACGTGATCGAACCCCGCCATTTGGTGGACGTCAAGGCCATTGAGCCGTCCTGCAACAATCCGCGATGTCACGAAAGGTAGCCCTTTAGGGGATACCTTGAGTTTGTCTTGCGAAGCAAGTGTTGGTGCGTCCGGGTCTAATAATTGATCATTCAATTCAACCCCCCCCCCCTCGAATTGATTTCTCAATACAGACCCCCCCCCCGCCCCCTTGGAATTGATTTTTCAATACAGACCCCCCCCCTCTAAATTCAATTCTCTCCTGGAGAACGTCTTCGTGAGCCCCTCATGATTTCAGGATAGTTGAAACCCTCTTGAACATTCACAAAAAGTGCATATGAACTTCTAATCACGAAAGGTGTTCCCCGAGGGGATACATACCTAGAGTTTGTTTTGTGAAGCACGTCAATTCTCTCCTGGGGAGCGTCTTCGTGAGCCTCTTATGGTTTCAGGATAGTTCAAATCCTATGGTGCTCCGATTCAATGCTCACCGATGATCTGAGCCATGGGGCAAGTTTGTTTTCCTAAGAATCTTTTTGAACATTTCGAGAGCATATGTTTGAACATTTAGAGTGCATATGAACATATATTTACGAAAGGTCGCCTCCGAGGGGATAAATCACCATGTCGAACATTGCATTTTTGTTCCTGCCTCTCGCGTTCTCTTCTCTTCCCGCTGTCCTACCTTTCGTGTCTCCCTCCTCTCAAGTTTCTCCAACATTGAGGCTCAAGACTACCCATCCATTCCATCCATATACAGGCAAATAGTGCATATTGACATTGACAATCAATGTACATTTGGTATTAGACATACGTAAATATGTATATTTCTATTTTTGACCATCAAATGGCCCAGGTACCCATTCTCAGGGTTAGGGAGGCCACCCTCGGAATCTAGCCTTTCTCCAAAACATTACATATATGATTGAATAGGAAGAGTTCCAACAAATGGGTTTTCAGTCCTTTGTTGCACTTCCGAGAGGGGTCTCCCTGTTCTGATCCACACCCATACGATCTCAGAAACAGTGATGTGCCTTCGAATACTTCAATTGGACCTCTTGATTCTTGATATTTGTTCAAGCAACAACTTAGCTCCAACAGCAAAAAAACTGGCAAAGCCTAAGATTCGCCACTGGTGACACTTTTTCTACACAGTCCACAGGTCCTACTTTCAGTTTCAAGTTTCAAGATGATGTCCCAGATTTTTAGGGTGTAGAGCCCCCTGGAAGAAGGAAACTCGACCAAAACCCATTCCAGGATTCTCCCTATAAAATACACATCCATATGATGACCCAGATAGTGCCGTGCGGTGTGTTCTCCTGTGGTTCTGCGTTCTCCCAGCCGTCAGGTGCTGGGCATGATCGGCGTTTTGCACGGCATGGCCCCTGAGCGTTTCTCGGTGCAGATCAATGCGCGTGACCGTGGAGGCAGCGCTGTGGCGAACCTTCTGGAGGCCGATCTTTCGGCAGGTATCGGCGGGGCTGGGGTCTTTTGAGCTGGTCCACCATCCAAACATGGTTTTGAGCTGCCACCAGCATGATTTTTCCCGAATGCGTAGCGAAGGGTTCTCGTTTAACTCTTGGGGGTCTGGGGGTGGAGCCTTGTTCGCGACCCGTTGTTTCTATGTTCGCAACCGTCCGCAACCGTCCGCAACCGTGCGCAACCGTTCGCAACCGTTCGCAACCGTTCGCGGTAGAGCGCTAAGGCGCTGCCATTGGGGGAAGCTTTTGCAAGTGACTATTCATGGATGTGTCACGTGTCAGTTTGCGCCGCTATTCACAATGGAATTTGCATGAAAATGACATGTCGCGCAAGAAGCGTGATGCATTTCGCTGCACAGGCGCAGCGTTTTGTGAGATCCTCAGTTTGCTACGCAGTTCCATTGGGATTAGCGTTTGGAGAGTCGTGTTTTTGGGGTGTTGGGTGTGGCCGTGCCATTGGGATTTGCGTTTCAGGGTGTGGCATCGAAGCTCTGTTTTCGCGACAGGTCTCAGCTGAAATGCCGATTTTGGACTCTGGGGTTTTGAGGTGTGGAAGTGGAAGTTTCGTGGCAGGCGCAGGGAATTGTGAGGTCATTTCGTGGCAGGCGCAGTACTTTGTGCGCGTTAGACGTGTGGACGCGGAAAGATTCGTGGCAGGCGCAGGGAATCGGGAGGTTGTGAGTTGTGGTAGAGGTGAATGTCGCTGTCACATTGGGATTGGCGTGTGAGCGGTTGTCGTTTGGAGGGGCTGGAATCGCGAAACTGCTTGGCAGGGCTGCGTGATGTGTGTGCTCCGATGGGTGTTTCCGCTGGACTTTTGGAGGAAGTCTCGTGCGAAACGTTCGTTTTGCAGACTTTGACATGTGAGTTTTCGAGGAAGTCTCGTACAAAACGTTCGTTTTGGGGACTTGACGTGTGACTTTTGGAGGAAGTCTCGTACGAAACGCTCGTTTTGGAGACTTGACGTGTGACTTTTGAAGGAAGTCTCGCACGAAACGCTCGTTTTTGAGACTTGACGCGTGACTTTTGGAGGAAGTCTCGTACGAAAAGCTCGTCTTGCAGCCTAGAGTGTGCCCTACAGGAGTGTCCCACAAGAGTGTCCTACAAGAGTGTCCCACAAGAGTGTCCTACAAGAGTATCCCACAAGAGTTTCCTACAAGAGTGTCCCACAAGAGTGTCCCACAAGAGTGTCCCACAAGAGT